GCTCCCTCGATTTTCATGAAATTTTGTATGTGCGTAGATTCGGGGGCAAAAAATCTAAAAATTAAACCTAGCTAGAGGTGTGCTAAAATGTCCTTTTATCCGTTTTCAGGGAATGAAAAATATCATTCGAATGTTACGGTAAATTTCGCCGCAAAAAAAAATGTTCTATTAGCTCGTTCGGTAAACGGGCGGCCCCGAAACAGAAGGCCTTGGTTCATGTCACGATCATTTATACACTTATTTTTTTACTTTTTTACGATTCCAGATCATTGCATTCTTTATTTTTTATTTTTTGTCCATCCAGATGATTTTGTTCTTTTTTCTCTTTTTTTTAAAGTTCTTTCTTTTGTGAAAAACACCAGTTTATATTTTCTTATTATTACGTCGGTAAGATCGAAAAATATGCATATTTCATTACTTAGTGATTTGTACCTAAATGTAATTTCCAAAATACACGATTTACAAAAAAAAAAAAAAAAAAAAAACAAACCTCCAGGTACTAACATTAAACCGTGCATATGTTTGTTTATTACATTGTATGTAGCAGTGTTTATTTATGATTTTTAAGATGTTATTTGCGTCTTGAAAAATGATTGCATTGTTACGTAGAAAGCGATAAACTTGACTGGACAGTGGGGTCGCTTTGTCATCTTTGAAAATGAATGGTTCCTTTGTAACGTTCTCGACTTATTTGTTGCAGTCTCATTATAATTATAAAGAATTACACGTGTACATACCTAAAATTTGGCACTAGCCGTCGCTGGGATATGGTTCTTACAATGTTGTGAAACTTCATTTTGTTTCACTGACATCTCAATTCACACTTAATAATGTATCAACTTACTATGTACAATATTTTTTTTATACATAATATAAAATAACGTAAAACAAACATCTATTATTTTTATTCCTACTCTCAACGTCGTTCACATATATCTGACAACAGACAAAAAAATAAACAGTTACTTAGAGTAACTGTTGCCGCCAACGTACCTACAATACTTTTTATTTGAGCCTAGCGGCCTAGCTCATTAATAAATTAATTTAAAAAATGTCGACAGAAATCGATCTGAAGACACACACAAAATTTCATTAAAATCGGTCCAGCCGTTTAGGAGGAGTTCAGTGACATACACGCGTACAGAAGAATTATACGTATAAAGATAAATGACAAATTCCAATAATGGAGCTCCGTAAGTTTACGAGTGCGACATTTAAGTTTCAAGTTTGGCCTACGTTAGAATGTCGATATTCACAAATTGGACAAGGCTTCGAAATAAGGAATGTAGTAAATTGCCTACGCGTGTAACGGGTCCTAAATAAGCAAAATAAAACCTCGTTATAATGTCCATGAACGCTGTAAAGGGTTCGAAATGTCGGGAATTTAAAAACAAAATGAAAACGTGATAATATCCGTAAACTAGTTTCATTTAATATGTATAATATTCGCGTAAAATCGAGAAGTCAATACTCGTTACAATGCTTTATGAAAGTCTTAGACGAAGACATATGTTATGTCTTATGTCTTATATCATATAGATACTGAGAGGCATGGGTGCGGCGATATGATTTCTTTAAATTTATTCCGGCAGTTGACTTGTACAAAATAAATATTCACCGCGGGGGTTTATCACCAAACAGAGTATGATTAACACTTCATCAATAAAACCATATAATTTTTCTACCGATGATACGGAATTTATCCTCGGGGAAAATTGATTATTCATCTCCAACATTCTCGGAATTGTTTAGTCGCGTTCGAGTATTTTTACAAACGGATAGGAAACACAAAACTTTCGACACAAAACTTTTGACGACGGAATTGACGTAGTGGATTTATAGGTTTAGTAGGTTCACTACCTGTCTCTTGCACCAAAGGGTGTGGGTTCGATCCCCACTACGGGAAAAATATTGTATGATGAATAGTGTTTTTCTAGTGTCCGAGTGTCTATATATTTATGATGTACCTATATTTATTTATAAAAGATAAGTACGTTTAAGTATGTTTGCTAGTTACCTAGTATCCATAATACAAGTTTAGCTTAGTTTGGGACTATATAACGTTGTGTAAAATTTGGTCTGAATTTTTTTACTTATTGATTTATTTATGCTCTTCAATAAGATTTACAGACGTCATCAATAACCTTTGTCATATGTATACGGATATATCCACGCGGCGGGATGGGCTATTTTTGAATTAGTCCTTGGGATCGCGTTATGATTGTTCGGAGTACTCTTTAAGAGTCACTATAACTGAATGTTGTGCTTTTTAGGGTTCTGTACCCGAAGGGTAAAACGGGACCTATATATGGACTATGCCCTACTACCCTCTGTACAGAAAGTTAGAACGGCCTCATAGAATGACCACCAAAAAGTAGAGCTTTTTATCAACAATCACTTGATGACGGGCGAATGTTCTGATTGTTCCCCACTTTCTTCCTTAAAAACAATCGGCTTAGATACCGTTTTATTTAACAGGAGTGTCCATTTTTCTTTCTCCCGCGCTTATCCTTTGTGTGATCGGCACAACATCATGTTCTTAATGCTATTGGCTAGGTGTTTTACGATCGGCCGCTGGCCTCATGTTAACCCTCGGGAAAAAACCAGACCCGCAATAATTGCTAGTAGGTCGCAAAAAAACTTGTCCCGTGTGGGAATGGAACCCACGACGCCGAAACTAATAGCTTGCAATTACGCCACCGAGTCACAATCGTTTGGTATCCATTAATTATCAACGTCAATATGTAACTTTGAACTATGCAGTGTCGAGCGCACACGTGCAAAACTTGTCTATTTGCTCATTTAACGGTGCTTCTATTACGCTGAGATCTTCAAACGTTATCTTCTCGACACGAGTTAATTGCCTGATAGTAACAAGAGTGCCCACTGTACCCGGGCCCCCGTTTCAAGCTGAAGTGTCTTTGTGCGCGGTGTCTGATTAAATTGGATACCGTGTTACATGTAGGTCAATGACTGGACTGCTGATTAGCGCGAGAATTATCTGTTAACTGATGGTCGTCTAGTCATCTCATTTTGCGGTTCTGTGCGCACGTGTTCGCGGATCGCCTTGCTCTGCGTATCTTGCCTTATTCATTTTCTTTTGTTTGAGCGGTGAAGGAATAAACGCGAGGAAACCTATATGTTTTCTAAATAATAACAAAAAAATATTTCCAACGCCAATTTGCAGTGGGACCGCGTGGCGGACTGTGCCCTAATACCCTCTGTACAGAGGAGGTGTTTGCTCAGCAGTGGGACATGTATAGGCTGTTGTTTTACTTAATACTGGCCAGTGTGTGACTACCGTCCTTAGTGAAGGGAAAGGCGAAAACCTTATTAATCGATACGGTAACATCATAAATTTGAGTACCATCTTTTAGTTTTTAATAAAGAGATATGTCAAATCCTAGCGACGTGATCTATGCTTTTATCTTTGTCAAAAGGTGCGGCATGCAGAATATCTCAAACAGTGGTGTATTTGGCGGCAATCGTGAATACTTGGGAGATACCTTATGCCTGTAACGTTTCGAAAAATTATTTTTAAGTCAAATTACACCTTGTAGCTAACATTATTATAGCTCGTATTCTTACCCGTGAGCAGTTAGCAATTCATATTACCTCCTTTATTCATTTTTAGATCTACCTTAGTAATTAAAATTTGTAGAAAAAGTACGAAAAGATTGTCGCAGTTGTGGGAATCGAACCCACGTCTTCGGCATTCGCGGCCTGACGCTCTAGCCACTGAGCTAAACGGCTGATAGCCACAGCGACGAAAATCTCAACGCTTTTTATCTACATTGTTATTTAGCATTTGAAGCCATGCTTGGCGCATCCATTGTTATATCCTTTCCAGCATACAAACAATTTCGAATATCGTTTTACAACGCTTATTAGAAATTTATCAGCACCATAAAAAAAATTTATTTCTACCTTATAGTAAGTTAAATGGCGCCAATTGACCTTAAAGTTAGTTAGAAAATACATCCATAATATTGCTAGTTAGCAAATGAAATGTTGCGTTTTCTGAACTCCCTACCTTGACATCAAACTAATGGTGTATCAACGACCTTTGCGTCACCCTTAATATTCGTGTAGTCTATCGGGTGATATTTAAGTCATTGCCCGAGACGTGAAGCGGGGGAGTGGAGTAGACTAAAATGTATCGACCAATTGCGATATAATCTCAAAGGGACATGTAACAGTTCTTTGTAGACTCTGTAATTATCATCGACCTTGGCTACTGATTTACTTGAGTGTAAATTGGGAAATGGCAAATTGCTGTTTTCTGTTCACCGCTTCAAGTTGCCTATTATGACGTTACACCTTATGTGCGTTAATTTCACGGAGATTGCGTGAAATTGATTGGGCCGATTGACAGAACCGCTTCATCTATTATGAATCCCGCGTGTCTTTAGAGAAAGAAAGAGACAAATGCGTGATAAAAGATTTGATGGCTTCGTGGCGCAGTTGCCAAGGTATTGGCTTCTGCGTCAGGGGTCGTGGGTTTGATTCCCACATGGGACAACTATTTGTGTGACCCACAGATAGTTGTTTCGCATCTGGGTGTTTGTCTGCGTGAAATAAATGTTTGTAAAACGTCATTACAACACAGGATAATATTATCCTAAAGTAATGGCGACGTTTTTAAAACGAAAAGAAAAAAAAGAAAAAAAAAAGATGTTTTGATATTTGACGTAATTTTAGTATAGACTGAAAAGGTAAGGCACAATGCTTAAACCTAAAGTTTCTTTGCCTTATGACCACGCACTCTCCCATAGTCTTTAGACAATTTTAAAAGAAAAATGGTACGGAACCCTTCGTGCGCGGGCCCGACTCGCACTGGGCCGGTTTTTTATAACCTTAAATTACACTAATAATAATAATACTGGTCGAATATTACTCCGCGTCGAGATTTAGACTCTGGTTTCCGCGAAATGGAGAAATTTAAAGGCTAGCACGGCACGAATTCAAAACGCCGTTGATAGAACTTTCTCTTGTTTCAGACTGAAATGACTGCGAGCTTATCACACTTCCAGGCAAGGGGCACATGTTAGATTCTCCAGAAGACGGCTTTGTATCCGGCGATAAATGGCTGCTATGGACCCAGGGTACTTCGATATAGAGAGGAAGCAGAACCCTCGCGAGACGGCAAATTTGTTCTCCAAGCTATGCTTCTGGTAAGTGGTTTAACTTAAACATAATTATTCTGGACGTCCAGTAGGCCTCAAACTTTTAAATGTAGAATTGGACGAGACAGAGGTTATAACAGACAGGGATGTCCATTCAACCGCATTCTTATGGAACTTTATTACTGAATTCAAACCTTTATGTATTAAAATGTGTAAACCGAGTGTTCATTTTTTTCTATATTCAATAGTCTTCACTGTTGCACGAATGGGCAGGTACGTCCGGGGAAGTATCACGACCTAACAGAAGACCGGCGTGAGGTGGAAGTGTTATACTTCTCCATTTCATCTGTTGAGTGAGGTAACCGAGGCTCCCCCACTATTAAAAGGCATCTGCAAACCCTACGGGTGTTGCGAATGTCCATGGACGGCGGCTATCACTTAACATCAGGCGAACTGCCAGTTCGCTTGCCATCTTCTAAATAAAATAAAATGATACTAATCCACCGCGTACACTAAAAACACCTGCATACTGGGGCGGTTCCACACAGTCGACGGTCGTCGCCGTCATGGTCCATACCTTACCTTTCTGAGGAATCCATCGTATAACATATGCACGCATATCGATTTGTCTGACTCCATTAGTTTAGCATACATCGATCATCATCATCATGAGCCTTTTTAAATGAAACTATTATACGCACAGTCTTTCCCGTGAACATGAACGCTGGAAAGTGTTAGAAATATCGGATAATTAAAATCAAAATAAACATGTAGTTAAAAAATTTAATTAGCCATGTATAGTTTTATAGTAAATACTAGACATCAATATAATCAGCCTGACTTTATCCACTGTAGGCCTTCCCTAATGGCTTCCACCGAATCCAGTCACCTCCCACCGTCATTATGTCATTGGTTCTTCCCAACCGTGACCTTCACTCTTTCCTCCCCATCTGAAATCATTGTTTCGACAAATGTTGAACGGCCCACTGTCATTTCAGCTTGGAGATTTTGAAAGCTATGTCTACGATTTTTTATCTATTGTTACAATCCACTGGCAACACTGCTTAATAAACGAGCAATAACAATTATACTTAATAAACATTGAGCCATATCTGGTATAATATTATATAATAAACCATGCTTAATAATAATTTATAATTTAATAGGTCAATCTTGTAAAGTTGTTGGTCAAAACTGTATTAGTAATTTAATAAGGGCATTTATTTGTAATGTAGTTGTGATGACTCATTATATTTTTGTATATAAGCGCAGAATCTTTCAGTGATAGGGTAGAACACTCTTATCCTTTGTATAGGACGTTACTCTGTCCTAATAAGTAGGAAGTAGTCTAATTAATATATAAAGTTGTTTACGCTATCCTCACTATTTTATTTTGGCCGGTCAACCTACAGTCTTTAATACTATATTTTATCCCTTAGAGAATCCATCCATAGAACTCATGGAAACTAGCATTTTAATAACTTAACGGTTTCGGTATAAGACATTAGATAAGCTTTATATTATAATCTTCAGGCTTCCGTTAAAACAAGATACAGTCTGCCTTAACGCACTAGAGATTATATGAACCGTTAAGTTTATGCTATTTCATCATTTATAGGATTTATTCCAGTAATGTAACTTAACTATCCAATTGTTACTTTATAAAACATATATCTATTAGGTCTTCAGGCCTTCAGCTTTGCTTAAGGATATAATTTACCGCCTTATCGCAGCTACCGTGTCAACTGCAATAACCTCGCATTATTTGCGAACGCATAATACGGCGCAATAAATTAATGTTGAATTAGTGTTATAAAATGTTTTCGCGTGTTCAAACGATTCGATAGACTTATCGTGCTTTACAAATGTTTTGACAATTTGCGGATATGTTTGGCGTGTTTTTCAAACATTCTACGTGTTTGATGCGTTTGCCAATGTTTCCTTGTGGCAGTATTACTGAGCAAGGAGAAATGCGACGAGAAGCCATAATTGACTAAACCCGTTTTAAATTTGTTTGATAAACCAGCGCAAACGCAACATAAAATTGTACGAAGCCTTAGCCTTTTGGGCTCCTTCTGGCTCGAATTCTGGTCTATTTAATGTCCTAGAATATAACTTGGACGATATTTACCACTTTGGCGTAAAAATTACCCACAACGTTTAAATTTATGAATGTCGAAGGCAAGTATGGGGCGCAAGGCTCTCGCACACCCTATGTTTGTATGTCATACATAGTGAAGTAAGTAAAGTGTACATGTCCCACTGCTGGGCAAAGGCCTCCTCTATACGGAAGGTATCAGGGCATAGTCCACCACGCGGCCTCACTGCGGATTGGCGGACTTCACATATTTTCGAAAAATATTTTTTTGTTATTATTTCGAAAATATGCAGGTTTCCTCGAGATGTTTTCCTTCACCACGGAGCATGTGATAAGTCAGCACTTAAAGTTAAAAAACTTCATTGGTGCCGGCACCGGGGATCGAACTCAGGTTGCTCGAGTATATTGAATTAAAGGCGAGCGCCCGGACACTGAGCTGTCACGGCTCATACATATACAGTTATAAATTTAAATATGAATATTATGTCTTATTTTCGCTTTATTTTATTTTTAACTTTCCTGACGTTTCGAACGCGTGGCTTGGTGATGGACTATGTTACAGGCTCTGGTGTTTTGTGTATTAACGTCATTTATTGATAATTCCGTTTCAAATCGATAAAATGGTTATGCTTAAACAACTTTGGAAATTATCGTTTCAGGTACACCCGTCCCGTGTTCGAGAAAGGTCGTAAGGGTCAGCTCAGCATATCTGACCTTTACAGGTGAGTTCGCCCCTTGGTTCTTCATGTAACTAACAAAAGCTTACATACGAATACCGTTCGCATTTTTATCCGTACGAACGAAATCATTGAAGTCGAATCGTTAATCATGTAAGACTTACCTGGGTCCAGAGTTCGTTTCCGGGGAGTAACGAAAGTGATTACTGTTAACTTAACACACATAATCCTCAATAATTAAAGGACTATTTTGTGTAGGTAGCTGCTTCCTTAAACGTTGTGATCGACCAATAACTCTTAGCCCAAGGGACCCCCAGCAAATCTTTCTCGTCTCCACTCACCACTCTACTTATTCTGTTTCTTTATTTTATCTAGGAACAACTAGGTTATTTTTAATTCTGTTTCAATTTCACTTTCTCATATCATTCCCACTAAATTCCACCTCCGTGCAATGGTCTTTGCCCTGTATTACTATTTAAAGAGAACCGCTTGTACCTAGATGCACCCCAGGGCATCGAGCGGCTCCGCGGGGCGATGTTATGGGCGAACAATGGAAACACGAGAAACAGAAACAAGGTACATACTGACTGTTACACTAACCCTATGTTCATATGGTAAAATAGAATCTGACGACCCGATTGGCGTGGGGAGTCTGCCTCTTGCGTCAGAGGGTGTGGGTTCGATCCCCACTACTGGTAAAATATTGTGTGCTGAACATAGTGTTTTTCTAGCGTGTGTCTCGAATCGTCTCTCGCAAATCGGAAATAAATAATTATTGTCGTGGTCACAAAAACTGAAGACCGTCAATATAATTATTCTTTATTCAACACCAAACACATGAATAAGTTACAATACAATATGGTGTTATTGTTCTGAATGAAATTTTTTCACAGACAATCGTTGTATTCGTAATTATTTCGATTTAAAACGTTAATAAGGGAGCAGTCGGAGGTGTACATAAGTTAATATTAGGCACGCGATGAAGGCATATATATGTACATACATTCTTTGAATACTCAGGAACATAATTGCACAATAATAATTGTTCTCATTTCTTGGCTTGTTATTTGTTTTTCAGATAAAACGAAGAAGCCGTCATTGTTGAGGACGATAGTGAAGATATACGGTGCAAAGTTTATTACAGTGAATCTGATATTTGCCTGTATTGATGCTAGCATAAGGTGAGGTAAACTTTTAATAGATATAAAAAAAGATTGCTAAATGAAATGAATAATGATGCTATCGCCTTATTCTAACTTTTTTAAGTTTCATTACAACTGTTACATTAGGACGTGTAAATACACGCGATAAATACAAAATACACACGATAACTTCCCTTTAAGTGTTATTCGGCAATGTGTATTAATAGCGTAAAAGCGAAAAATCATTCTAAATGAACATTTCATAAGCGTGATTTCATTATTAATCATTAAACCATTTTTATAAGGAAATAAAGCATTTTTAATTTAAGGACATTGTTTGCACTCAATCAACTTCCGAGTTTAGTTGTAGTACGGTTGTTGTCTCATTAGTGGTGGTGGTAGTGGGGCGTTAACGTCATCGTCTACGTCATTCGTGGACAGATCTCGGGCGGTGGCGCTATCAGACATAATTGCTACGTGCGTTTCGCAAAGTACAGTTACATTTATAGTTGTTGTTTTCAGATTATCTATACCGATGTGCCTGGAGGGCCTCATAAATTACTTCTCTCCCTCGCACGCGGGTGTCACCCCCAACGAAGCCTATCTATACGCTTTGGGGGTAGTCGGGTAGGTACCGTCCTGTTTCTACCCTCCTTGTGTTATCTTTACTGTTGGATAACATTATCCTGTGTTGTAAGAACGTTTTACAAACATAAATTTCACGTGGACAAATAGTGTTCCCGTGTGGCAATCGAACCCACGACCCCCGACGCCGAATCCAATACCTTGGAAACTGTGCCACGAGTCATCATTTTATGTTTACTAATTCAATATAACAAAGCGATTGCGTAGCTTCTACGGTGGTTCTCAAAGTTTTGTGCTAAGTAAATCACTGTTATACTTTCGTAATGAAATATCCATGTTAAACGAAATTGCCTCTATAGTTCCTTTCTTCACCGAAAGGATTTCGATTATTTCTTTTAATTTCTCTTATGTTTTTTTTAAAAACATTGCCCTCACTCTAGGATACCATATACTGTGTTGTAAGGACGTTTTACAAACATAACATTTCACGCGGACAAACACCCAGATGCGTAACAACTATCTTTGGGTCACACGAATAGTTGTCTCGTGTGGGAATCGAGCCCACGACCCCCAACGCCGAAGCCAATGCCTTGGCAACTGCGCCACGGAGTCGTCCTGCATCATAATTGCACCCAAGGCTTTAGGTGCTACTCCGTCCGCCAGGATTCGAACCTACTGAAAGTAGGTACGTATTTCCAGGTTCATGGCAATCAACGCCAGCATGATACATCCGATGCTGTTTTGGCTGCTGACGATGAGTATGAAGATCAGAGTGGCCTGCTGCTCACTCATATACAGGAAGGTGCGTAGAGTGTAAGGCCTTCTCATGCTTCCACTTGGAAGTATCCATATTTTTGCGTGTCGTTCTATGAGCGAGGTTTTTTAATATGAAATGGTGGCAAGCGAGCTGGCTGTCCACTTGGTGTTAAGTGATAACCGCCCGTGGACATTTGCAACGCTCTTAGGGTTGCATACGCGTTGCCACCTTTTAAATGAAATGGGCTCCGGCTACCTCACTCTTGGTGAGTGACTTAACCCAGACGTATAACACTAACCCTTCACGTCGATCTTCTGAAGTCGTGGTAGTTACTCGGACGGGTCTGCCCATCCGTGCAATATCGAACACTGTTGCGAGGCGCAGATACAGACACAGTTAAAAAAAGTCTACTTGTGGCACTTAAGTCTGTATTATTTAACAAATAAGTTAAGGGGTATTGCATCTGCCTTTAAACGCTCGAGAGAGGTTCACCATGGTAGGGCCACGCGGCAGCCTCGGCTGTTGCACGAATGGGCAGGCTCGTCCCGGTAAGTACCACGATCGCACAGAAGTCCGGCGTAAAGTGAAAGTATAATACTTTCGTTTTTTACTTGCGTTTCGTATGGTGAGAGAGTTGGCCGGAGCCCAATTTTCGTTTTCAACGCATCTGTAACCCTCGGGTGTAGCAGATGTCCATGGGCGGCGTTATTCACTTAACATCAGGTGAACCATCTGCTCGCTTGGCTACTTTTCACATAAAAACAGGGTTCTGTATCCAAGACTCGTTGCTTAATCAGCTCCTTCGCCTGGACCTCACTGCCGGCGGCAAGGCGTCCGAGGGCCTCGCCGGCCACGTGGTCAACCTGCTCACGACGGACGCGCAGCGCTTCGACATGGCCAGCCTGTTCATGGTGGACCTGGTGAGGACGCCCATCGAGAGCGTCCTCATAGTCTACCTCATGTACAGGCAGATCGGCGTGGCGACGCTGATCGGGGTTTCGTTCCTCCTGCTGTTCATACCGTTGCAGGGTGAGTTTATTTAGATGTGAGTAGAATTTCGGCCGTTTGCAGCTGGCTGTCACAAGAGCCGAATATTTATCAGGCGCGTGCACTCCATACAAGCGAAAAAGCTTTTCATACCTTTTCGTCCCATACGAACATTCCACAAAGCGCGGATGTCAATTGGTAAAGTAAAGTAACAGACTATACATATCCCACTGCTGGTCGAAGGCCTCTTTTTACAGAGGGTATCAGGGCATAGTCCACCACGCGGCACCACTGCGGATTGGCGAGCTTCACATATCTTCGAAATATTTTTTTTAATTAATAATTCGAAAATATGCAGGTTTCGTTACGATGTTTTCCTTCACCGTGGAGCACGTGATAAGTCAGCACTTAAAGTTAAAAACCGGGGATCGAACTCAGGTTGCTCGAGTGTATTGAATTAAAGGCGAGCGACCGGACACTAAACTATCACCAGCTCTTAATTAGTGTTAATAATAAATTTATTTTATCTTCTGCCTTTCAATATTTATTTATCACAGCGCACTCTTTCAGTGCTTTTGGGTAAAATTTAAGCAGGTACTATCCGAGCCTTGTTTCTTTTATTTATCTTTTTTATTTATAAATCTTATTAAGCGGCGGGCACGGCTAGTTTTACATAAAAATTAATACGTTCGTAAGTTACCACTGCTAGCACCACATTTCAGGCTACCTGGGCAAGATCTCGAGCAAGCTGCGCCGTCAGACCGCCGTTCGCACCGACCACAGGATACGTCTGATGAACGAGGTGATACAGAGCATAGAGGCCATCAAGATGTACGCTTGGGAGAACGCCTTCATCAGGATCATAGGGCAGGCGAGGAAGTGAGTATACCGATTGCGAGACGATTGTTTTCTTTCTTTAAAAAAAAAAAAACTAAATTACTAAACTAACTAGAGACAGACTCTGTCCCGTGACCATGAACGCTGCAAAGGGTTCGAAACGTCGGGAATTAAAATTAAAAAATAAACGCGATAAATACGTAAAATTAGTCTCATTTATAATGTGTAATCGCGTCTATACAAGAAAAAAAGTTCTCCCTTACATAGATATCATTATTCTGTGCTGTAAGGACGTTTCACATACATACATTTGCGCAGACAAACACCCAGATCCGAAACGATAATTTGCGGGGCTCGAAAACAGCTGTCCCGTGTGGGAATCGAACTGGCCTGGGCCACGGCGCCACGGAGTGAACAAAATATTGGACTACTTTTTAGGGCTCCGTACGAAAAGGGTAAAAACGGGATCTGTTACTAAGTCTCCGCTATCTGTATGTTTGTTTGTCCGTCTGTCAGCAGGCTGTATTAAATGAACCGTGATAGTTAGACAGTTGACATTTTCACAGATGATGTATTTCTGTTGCCGCTATAACAAAAAATACTAAAAAACAGAATGGAAAAATATTTAAGTGGGGCTCCCATACAAGAGACATGAATTTTTTTTCTGTTTTTATAGATAATACGAAACCCTTCGAGCGCGAGTCCAATTCGCACTTGGCCGGTTTTTTTTCTCTTGCCCTTATTCCACCTCAGTGGGGTCCGCACAACATGTGAATCATGCTAACGGCTAGATTTTTTACGACCAGCCAGACGTAAACTATACGGAACGTAAAAAGATACGGAACGTTATCTGTGGTTCACACAATTACCTACTTGCGTTTCACACAAATACACGCGTCGGAATTGAACCCTCGGCTAAAAGCGGCAAAGGCAATTAATATCTTGGCAACTGCGATCATCGTAGAAGTGAACTAATTTTGAATTGATCTTTCTCTGTGATTTGGATACTATCCATCTGAAGGCTCGATATATCCGTCCTTTGTGATATTCCCTTCACATCACGCCTTCACCCGCAGGAAGGAGATGAACGTGATAAAGAAGATGTCGTGGCTTCGAGCGGTGATGATATCCTGCGTGAAGCTCAACACGAAGGTCGCGATATTCCTCAGCATCATATCGTTCCTCTCCTTCCAAAACGACCTGACCGCCTCCAAGGTCTTCGTGATCTTCTCCTACTACGACATTTTGAAGTACACCCTCGTGGACTTCCTCCCGCTGGCTATCACCTTCACCCTGGAGGCGTACGTCAGCGTCAAGCGCATGCAGGAGTTCCTCCTCCTGCCCGAGGTGGACAACCAGGACAACGTGAACCTGGTAACGATCGAGGAGAGCACGGTTTCCGCTCATACCAACGGGGTGTTCGAGAAGATCGGCAATGGGTGAGGGTTCTTCTTCCAATGTTACGTTCTCTTCTTTCCGGCTACTTGCTAAATGTGTGGTTTCGTCTGGTGAGTGAGGTAGCCGGGGCCCAATTTGTTAAGAGGCGGCAACGCAGCTGCAACCCTACGGGTGTTGCAAATGTTCATGGGCAGGCGGCTATCACTTAACATCATCAGGTGAACCGCCAGCTCGTTTGCCACTTTCTCACATAAGAAAAAGGGACACGCAACAGTCTTCTCTGCTGCAGGTACGGGCAGGTCCGTGCGGGTAAGTACCACGACCTCACAGAAGACCGGCGTAAAGTGGAAGTGTAACACTTCGGTGTTGCAAATGTCAATGGGTGCTGGTTATCACTTAACATCAGGTGAACCTCCTACTCCCTTGGCAACTTCACATTTTTTTTATGCGAAAAGTTGTCAAACGAGCAGACGGTTCACCTGATGTTAAGTGAATACCGCCGCCCATGGACGTCTGCCACACCCGAGGGTTACAGATGCGTTGACAACCTTTTGAAAATTGGGCTCCGGCAACCTCACTCACCAGACGAAACGCGAAAGTATTTGTCATACCGGTTATTTACCCGGACGGGCCTACCCATTCGTGCAACAGCCGAGGCTGCTGCGTGGCCCTACCACCGTCAAAAAAACACACATAAAAAAAATCTTAAGACTTCCATAAATGTTAATAACTTGCGTCCAATCCAAAGCGGGTAACTCTCGATATATCTGTCTTATTCTGCTGTTGTATTCACCAGCGGTAGTATCCATCATCAGGCGAGCCGCCAGCTCATTTGTGTGTAACGTTCTATTTTATTTCACCCAGCAAGCCTACATCAACGCAAACGAGCTGCATTCGTGAATAATGTTTTATTTCATTTCAGACAGCAAGCCTACATCAGATCAGAATCGAACCTGGAGCGTCTGAAACCGTCTGTCCTGTTGAATTTCAAGGACTACACGGCCCATTGGAGGAACGTGGAGGACGAGTCCGTCAACGCCAAGGTGGCCGCGCTGTCGGCAATCAATCTTTCGGTGCGTTATCAGAAGAAATAGATTACGTTACTCCTCTACCATTTGACTGAATATATCACATATTTTCAAATTCAAATTTTGTAAGGATTCTTTAAATTATGTAATAGTGAGAAGTTGCTGATTTTTAGTGATTACCGCCGCCCGTAGACATCCACAACAAATTAGAGCTTTCGGATGCGTTGACAATCAGAGAGACAATCAGGCAAACTAAACGCGAAAATGTAATGCTTCCACTGCGCACCGGTCTTCTGAGGCCGTGGTACTTCCCTGGACCAGCCTGCCAATTATAAATAAATATTTTAGAACAAATTTTTACACAACATTTTCTAGTCCCAAATTAAGCAACGCTTGTACTATGGGTACTAGAAAACTGATAAACATACTTTTCTTTGGTGAATAAATACATATTATACATATATAAACACCCAGACATGGGAAAACACTGTGTTCATCACACAATATTTTTCGAGTAGTGTGGATTGTATCCACACCCTCTGGCGCGGGAGGCAGGTACACTACGCACTACGCCATTCGGCTCGTCAATTCAATTCGGGCAACAGGCGCTGTTGCGTGGCACTACCATGGTTAATGGTGATGTTATTTTAGATAAAGCCGGAGACGCTTACCACCGTGGTGGGCATCGTGGGCTCGGGCAAGTCCACGCTGCTGCAGGCGATGCTGCGCGAGCTCGAGTCCAGCAGTGGGCAGCTGGAGGTGCGCGCCTCGATAGCGTACGCCGCCCAGGACCCCTGGCTGTTCGACGCCTCGGTACGTCCTTCCGCAACAACTTTACCTAACTAACATAGGTCGGTGGACAGAAAAACATAACATCTGTTTACATAAAATTACAATTATTCTAGTGCTACGTGCACAGTTTGCTACTAAATTGCGACACGCGTTAACACCCTGCCCAAGCATTTTTATGTTTTAAATGTATGCCATTGTATGTCGACAGTTCATGGTCATTTATATCCACGGTTCGTGGTCTAAATTGTTTAGCCCACATTGTGTCTATAAGGAAAGCGTTTGCTATCGTTCATTAGCCACTAGCGTTTAGATTCCGTCGGTACTTGCTTCTACGACAAGCCCACGTTTTTTATGACACCACGCCCAGCATTTTCATGACGTTTTCGCATTATATGACCTAAATCGTTTAGCCCAAATTCTATGCATAGAGAAAGCGTTGCTATCGTTCATTCATCACTAGCGTTTTGATTCCGTCGGTACGTGCTTCTACGACAAGCGCACGCGTTTTATAACCTCCTTGCTGGCCAATTATTTGTGTGACTCACAGATAATTGTTTCGAATCTGGGTTTGTCCACGTGAAATATATGTATGTAAAACGTCCTTAAAATAAAGGATAATGTGTCCTATTGTACATATAGTGAGGGAAAAAATCGTTTAGCCCTTTTGTGTAAACTATCCTCCATTTATACCCAGTGTTCAGATATATCTGTAGCGTTGGTTAGAGTCCTGTTTTATCGATGAAATTATTATGTTAATAAATACTTAATCAAATTCAACGCAAATGTACCTTTCCAGGTGAGACAGAACATCCTGTTCGGCCAAGAGCTGGACCTGCGCCGTTACAAGCAGGTGATAAAGTGCTGCCAGCTGAAGAGTGACCTGGATATCCTTCCTCATGGCGACAAGACCATTGTCGGGGAGAGGGGCAAGTTTGAATTTATTCACACATGGTTGCATTCATTCATTCATACATATGTACTAATTTATTTATTTACTTTATTCGGTATACAAAACAAAAACAAAAATACACATTAGAATAAATTTAAATGAGATTAACGATTACATACTGTCAGCCAAAAATATGTATACACAACATGCTATAAGATATGAACAAAACAATGTTTGATCCTCAATTTACACAAGATTAAAAAAGAACTGCTAAGCACAAAGTTAGAAACATATAAACACAACTACACTGCACGAAGGATTGGTTCTCTATTCGTTTTTATGTTGACCTGGTGTTAAGTGAGAACGGCGTAGGGCTGCAGATGCGTTGCCATCTTTTAAAGTGGGCCCCGGTCACCTCATTAACCGGACTAAACGCAGAAGTGCTTTCTACCTAAATGTTAGTTTCGACTCTAAAAATTATGTTTGCTCAGAAGAATGGAGCTAAACCCGATGTCTTGCGTTTTGGCTTAATAATAAAGGTATGTGTTGGTTTTAGGTGCGTCTTTGTCGGGCGGGCAGAGGGCGCGCGTGTCGCTCGCTCGTTGCGTGTACCAAATGGCCGACCTCTACTTGCTCGATGACCCACTCGCTGCAGTCGACGCTAAGGTTCGGCCTTGCTCTCATAACGTTGTGGAATAATGACATCCAGATTTTTCCTTACATCTATATTAAGTTAGGTTTATTGTTATCTATATACTTATGTAAAAGTAAAGTAACCTCCTATATGTGTCCCAATGTTGAGCATGTGATGAGCAAAGGGCTCATCTGTGCAGATGGTATTAGGGCATAATTGACCACCCGACTCCATTGCAGAATATTTACATGCGTTTTTAGAAATCAATTGAAATCAGCGAGGTTCTTCGGCAAACTTGCATTGTTCCAGGCAGTTATAAGCCTAACCAAGCAATTCTGCACCAAATTACACATAGAAAAGAAGAGTTTTACCCAGCAATCGGAAATCTGTACAAAAATATAGTTTATGCCAAAAAAAAAAAGGTCTGCAGTTTCCGTCGCGAGCACTAGTTAGATTAGACTCCATCATATTGAATTAGAATTTCAATATACAGAATTGTTATCGAGTGAATCGCCGCGCACGAATATTGCACAGATTTTTTTTATGTGAGGAGGTGAACGAGCTGTTAGTTCACCTGACGTTAAGTGATGACGGCCGGTTTCTGAAACACCGAATGATCGTCTTAATGATCAGAACGACCAATTCAAAGAGTTTAACCATCCTTTTGGCAACACAAATGAAATTTGAATAGCCATTTGACAGTTGATTAGTTGACATCTACGATGATCGGTGTTTCAGAAACCGGCCGTTAGGGTTGCAGATGCGTTGCCGCCTTTTAATAAAGTGGGCCCCGCCTACCTCACTCATCGGACGAAACGCAGAAGTGTAACTTCCATTTCACACCGGTCATCTGTCAACTCGTGGTAATTCCCCGGCTTTTGCGTGGCCCTGCCACAGGAGAGTTGTTTCGAGTAACTTTATTAAGCAATTTTTTAAAGTTTTTTTTTTAAGTGCTAATCTCTGCCCTTAATATTGAACATTTCGAAGTTAAGCAACTCCTCTCCGGGCAACCGCCAGGTGGCGCAGGCGATCTACGAGGAGTGCATCCGAGGGTTCCTCCGGGATAAGGCGGTGGTGCTGGTGACGCACCACGTGCAGTACGCTAGACACGCCGACGCCGTGTGCGTCATGAGGGCGGGCAGGGTGAGTGTCGTCATCATTGAGATGACCTATCATCATCTTTAATCTCCGTACAAATGAAACTAATTTTATTTTTATGTTCATGTTTAATAAGTTTTGGAACCCTTTTTAATGTTCATGGTCATGGGACAGACAGTGTCCTGTGAGCTGGAATTAAAAAAAAAAATAGTAATTATAATTAAAAGTAAACGCTAAATAACGTAACGATAAATCCGTAGATATGGTTTCATATAGGATGCGTAATCGTCAAAGTCTAGACATTATCGTTTAGACTCTATAGATGGCGTTATCTATAATTTAAGTTTTGTTATGGTTATGTTGCCAGTGTAATTTGGAAAAGATTTCATAGGTGTGTTTGTGTTTATCCATCAGACAGAACAGTCGACAGAACGAGACCGGTTATTGGTCATAATAAAATTATTTTATGAAATAATCAGAAAACAATCTAAATTAACCAGCAAAACGGTCATCATCTAGTTTACCGAAGATGGAGACCAGACGCGAATAATGTCGTCCCATATTTCGTCACCGCGCCGATCAAATATTTCGAAATGTCGAAAAAATATTTTTTCGACATTTCGAAATATTTGTTATCACCTTCATCATAGCCTTTAACAAACTATACTGGCAGATGCGTTGACAACCTTTAAAAAAGTGGGCCCCGGCTACCCCACTCACCAGACGAAACGTGGCCCATCGTAAAACGACTACAATTTTTTTTTTAATGTGAATAGTTTCCAAGCAGTTTTAGAGCAGGCGGTTCACCTGATGTTAAGTGAGTACCGCCGCCCATGTACATCTGCTATACACCCGAGGGTTGCAGATGCGTTGGACAAACTTTTGAAAATTGGGCTCCGGCTACCTCACTCACCAGACGAAACGCGAAAGTAGTATACATATATTTCCACTTTACGCCGGTCTTCCGTGAGGTCGTGGTACTTACCCGGACGGGCCTGCCCATTCGTGCAACAGCCTCGGCTGTTGCGTGGCTCTACCACTACTATATAGGATATTGACTGTCAAATTCCCCTAAACGCAGATCGTCGCCCAAGGTACGTACCAGGAGATGAAGAACAGCGTGGCGGAGTTCGAGACGCTGATAGAAATGGGCGAGAAGGTCGAGGAGGAGAAACAGAAGCAGAAAGTCGCATACGAGAAACACGATAGCATTGTAAGTTTACTACCCACATTAATATTTCAGGGCGTTATATTCAATAAAAATACCTAATCTCCTGCTAAGCGAAAATTAGATACATAGTTCACATGGACGCTAGGTGAACTAACATACGGAAATAAAAACACTATAGATATATAGAAGGATATTAGGGGAACGCGATGGTCGTGACATATTGATGTTTTCCTAAGTCAGGATCGAACCCGCACCTTGTGGCGCATGAGACAGTTTCTCTGCTACGCCAATCGCATCTCTCTACTTAAACTGGGCGTGTCGTCATCATCATTACAGCCTGTTCTAGTCCATTGTTGAACATACGCCTCCCCCACATACTGCCACTAAACACGATCCAGTGCCACCTGCATCCATCGACTTCCCGCACATTTGCACGGGTCGTCATTCCATCTAGCGGGGGGTCGTCATACACTGCGATGGCCAGTAGGACGCTGGCGCTCGAGAACCTTTATTCCCCATCGATTGTACTTTCTTCGAGCTATATGGCCGGCTATTGCCTCTTCAGCTTAGAACTACTGAGCGTTCAATTGTGTAAAACCACCTCGCCAATTGACACTGGGCTAAATCATCATCCTTTGAAGCTATCAAAGCCATCATCTGCGTAGTTGGCTCAGTGGGGCCCCAAGTTCAAATCCTGGTGTCGGTACCAATGTTATTATCAAATGCAATTCTAAGTGCTGTTTAACCACGTTTTCGGCCGTGAAGGAAACTGTGTATCTTTGAATTAGTAAAAGAAAATATTTCCAACACATGCAAACTGCCGTAGGGATGCGTGGCGGACTGTGCTCTAAAACTCTGAATAAAGAAATACCTTTGCTCAGCAGTTTGATAAATAATGTACAGTCGCTTACTCAGTTTATGTAAGCATTGTTTATTCTAAAGTTTTAAGTAAAATCCTTTTATATCGTGTAGTGTTGCCATTTCAAAGTATTTCAACGCAAAACTTTTCTCGTTAGGTGTACACGGCCACCGCGAAGGTCGAACATCAAGCGGACGTTAACAAGAACGTTAGTCATCGCTTCGTCATCTAATTCATTAACGTATCAAAATAGAAGTAGAATCATCATTGAATTCATTGCGAAGTCAATATTCGTTTTAAATCTCTCGTAGACTTACCTAGAAGCGTAGCGAAATTGTTCCAATCCATATGTTATTTGCGTTATATTGTTCAATAAGCCTTTATGTATTTCATATTCATCCTCAGTATGTGTTGGTCCAATGCTGGATACAGGGCTTCCTCAATTCGTTTTATATGCGGTCCGTTTTATCGTCCAGCCCAGTAGTTTTACACGATTATCAGTTCATTTCGAGGACGTATGGCCTAAAGCTTTTTCTTGCCAAATAAAAATAATTATATTCATAGTTTTCTCACAATGACATGGTACACTAATCAGTTTATATTTAACTTATCGACCTTTGGAAATAGTCAACCGGCTAAACACTATCTGGCGGAGTATTAATTAGTGCTTCGTGCGACAGAGATAACGCACTACGAAGCCGAAGTAAGCCGAACGTCTCTTTCCAGCGAACGATATGCAATATTTATCGACGAGTACTGTACTTATTGCGAAATGTACAATACAGGGTGTAAATTAACTATTTATACCACTATATTCTGTTCGTATTACAGAGTCGGCAGATATTATTGATGATAGAAATATGATTTAACCGTTTTAGAAGTAGTAGTTTTTTATGTTGTTGTAATAATGATTTTTTGTATATACACGAAAATGCAGAACAGTAAAATGTTATTTAAGACTGCGGAGAAAAGGATTTGATTGTGAAAATAGTATGTGAAACACCTCATCCTTTTTCATGATCATGAATTATCAGACTTGATTTAGTAGTTTTAATTAAACAATGAGGCGTCGTGGTGTTATTTTTTTTATTTTTTTTTGAATTTTTATTATGTTCTATAATATATACGCAAGTTATATAATTTTCTATGAATTCGCCAGGATAACATCCACAAGCTGCGCTCGCAACGCTCCATGTCGGAAGCATCGCAGCTCTCCTTCAACATGGACCTGGACAACAATTTGGACCCCAAGTACGAAGGCAAGTGCTGTTCAGCCCGTTTCTTTACAGACGCTGCGCTGGTCTATTGGCTTTTGGCCTCTGGTTCCCAGGTGCTTTTCCGACGTGATGACATTTTGATTGTTCGCGTGCAAAGGCAATGCCTGACATCTGTGGTCCAGTTCAAAGTTATGTCTTGTGCTGAGGTCAAAGGACACCGGGCGAGGTTTCAAGTTTCTGACTCCATCAAGTGGTCCAAATGGACCTCTTTTATTTTACCTCTTTTATTTTACGATATGGCACATAAATATGCGACATATTGTAAATCTCGCTAACGATGACTTAATGGTGCAGCTGTAATTTATGTTTTCCTTCAGCGCACGGGGTCATAGGTTCGATTCCCACACGGGACAAGAAATTGTGTGACCCACGTCATTGTTCTAGATTTTTGTACTGAAGGACACACACGTGTTGTGCCGAAGGTGGGAAGGCAGGATGATGATTTTTATTCTCGCCAATGACATTGAGCAAAACCTGTAGGGTCCCGTCAACCGTACTAGTTTTCAGCTATAATTTTTCAAAAGTTAAGCGAATGCGTGCCTTTTGATTGAATGCGTCTACATACTAATATGAGATCGCTCTTAGCTGATTCTGCCTTTCCGTCGTCATCTGCAGGCGAGAGCCAAAGCAAGGGCTCCGTGGACAACGGGGTGTACGTTGCGTACATCAAGAGCGGTGGCAGCGTGTGGTCGATGACCCTGCTGTTCACACTGTTCCTCCTGGCGCAGGTGTTCTACTCCTCCACCGACGTCTGGCTGAAGGAGTGGTGAGTGGCCTTTGGTAGAGCGAGCCAGCGAGAAGCACATGACGTATGTGCTTCTCGCTCTGTCGATGTTTTTCTTGTGATCTAATTGTGTTGTTTTATGTACTTTTGTGTTCACCTGCACCTCGGTTATATGGTTTCGTCTCGGCTTGGGCGTACATCGGTATTGTTTCTTGAGTATAGAAATATTTAATTAACGCGCACCGACATTTGTTACAAACGTGGCTTTATAAATAAGGCATAATCTAGGCTGAATTATCTATTGTGATGTGAAATAGATACCCATTTCATAAACCGGATTATGCCAAAGATCTCGTATGCGGCTCTGTTTATATATTTTAGTATATAGTTTATATTTTGGTTTATTTAGTTTTTAGATTTTTGGAGTATTAATTATTTATATATTATTGTAATGAAGGCGGTAAGTTCGTCTTTCTGTTCCGTGTTGGTTTATTGAGTCGCTATAAACATATTAATTCTATTACGGTGAAGAGATAAATTTTCACAAATAGAAGTGAAATATTCCTTTACCGTGAATAGTCGACAAGTGGAATCGGCAAAGCTATTTCTTTTTTTTTCCAGGGTGAACATGGAAGAGATGAACAGCGCTTATAACTCGGCAAGAATGAACCAGACCAACGAAACGGCCGCTTCCCCACCGCCCGGTAATTATAAAGGACTGTTGTAAAATTGTACTATGTATGTATCACAAAAGACTGCTGCCCAGCAGTGGGCAAAGGTTTCGTCTATACAGAGGGTATTAGGAAATATTCTACAAAGCCGTGTAGTTTGGGGCTCATATAATAGGGCTAAGGTATCCCTTGCCCGTCGTAAAAGCCGACTTAAAGGGGTACAGAAGGTGGCCCCCGAGGGGGTTTTACGGGTATTTGTTTTGAAGATCTTCTGCCTCGATACCAAAAAAAATAGCACAGTCCACCACGCGACCCCACTGCGGATTGTCGGACTTCACATGTCTTCAAAATATTTCTGATAAACAAAGTTTTTTTTTTTATGAGAATGGTTGTCAAACGAGCAGGCAGTTCACCTGATGTTAAGTGAATGCCGCCTCTTCAACGCCCGAGGGGAGGCGTTGACAACCTTTGAAAATGTTGGCCCTGGCCACCTCACTCATAAGATGTTACTTTAACGCTTAATAGGATCTTCTGTATTGTGTTACGTCACGACTACGATGACGTTTGCAGATTTCCAAGACATCCCGGGGAACTACTTCCACTTGACGCGCGAGCAGTGCGTGTACATCTACGCCAGCCTGATCGGCATCTGCATCTTCTTCACCTGGAACAAGCTGGTCCTCTTCTACAACACCTGCATCAGAGCGTCGATAACCCTCCACGACAACATGTTCAGGTGATTTTGATATTGCCCGAGTAATTCTTCATTGGTGAGAAAGTTTAAAAGATACGGAAGATACGGAACGTTAATTTAGACAAGCTTATTTATTTTCTTCTATATTGTCTTATCACGTGCTCCGCAGTGAAGGAAAACATCGTGAGGAAACCTGCATATTTTCGAAATAATAACAAAAAAAAATATATTTCGAAGATATGTGAAGTCCGCCAATACGCAGTGGGGCCGCGTGGTGGACTATGCCCTGAAACCCTCTCTATAGAGGAGGCCTTTGCCCAGCAGTGGGACATGTATAGGCTGTTACTTTACTTTACTTTACTACTTATATTGTCTTACATTCTAATAACTTAGAGATAAGCACAACAACAGAATTCTGCACTCCTCAACAAAAAGTGCGGTAAATTTCATACTCCTCCGTTCGCGCAAATTTTGTATAAAGGGGTACAAAATTTTTGCTGGACGTATTGCCGTATTACTTACACGCGCAACTTTGTCTGCGCCATCGGTTGAATACTTACTCAATCCAGCTGATAAATTTACCTTACACAGCCATCTGTTCGAATCTTATGGAACAGATAATTGTAACTCTTTGTCATATTATAATAAATAAATAATTAGCAATAAAAAATATTGCGCCTATAAATTGAGATATAAACTATCCTATCCCTAAAGTTGGATTAAACTGCACACAGTGTGCAAAATTTGATTAAAATCGGTTCAGTAGTTTAGAGAGCTAATCGCTGACGAACAAAGTGAAACGAAGAATGAGCGCTTCATAACAAACAAACAAACTTTAGCTTTATTAGCATAGATAGAGATTTATCGACTAGCTTTATAGTTTTTGTTAGAAAATGTGTTTCCGTGGATCAAAATAAATATGCAGCTCCGCTTTCATGATTAGTTTATTCTGTTTAGCTTACATCATTTAACACTTTATACTAGGTTTCACATGATACTACTTAATTACAATAATCAACTTAATCATCTTCAAATCACAACTACACCATCTTGACCAAAATTACACAGAGTAGAGAGTTTTGTCTATGCAGTCACAGAGCAACTAAAACAATAGCAATGTTACAAGGTACAAAATCATATTTTCAACAGTTTTCATGGAGAGATCTATTGACTAACTTGATCCTCTTAATTTCATGTGCATCTTCAACGCAGGGGCGTGACCAACGCGCCGATGTGGTTCTTCCACCACAACCCCTCTGGACGTATCCTGAACCGTTTCTCCAAGGACATGGGTCAGGTGGACACCCTGCTGCCCGTCGCCCTGGTGGACTGCCTCGGGGTGAGTTGACTGTCTTTATTGATGGTAGGATCGTCGCAGAAGTGTACACCAACCACTTCACGCCAGTCTTCTGTGAGCTAGTGGTTCTTACCCGGACGGACGTGCCCATTCTTGCAACAGAGAAGACTGTCGTGACAGTTTAAATTTTGATATTTCGTGCCTTTTGCTGACCCCCCCCCCCCCTACTCTCTCGTGATTAATGGATGAACACAATCTGTAAGTAAACTTTTGGCCATTTGTTCCTGAACATCGTATTTACAGTTATTAGCTAATAGTAGTAAAAACATTTCCGTTCTAATCTTCCGTAAAGTTCACAAAAGTTAATCCAATACTTCTTGTGATATCAACAACACATACCTTTAAACGGCGACGTTACCACGTGGCAGTTCTTCCTGGAAGTGGTCTCCATCCTGGTGGTGGTGTGCCTGGTGAATTGGTGGCTGCTGCTACCAACCGCCGTGGTGGCGTTCCTCCTGCACCTGCTGAGGAACCTCTTCCTCAACACGAGTCGCGAGCTGAAGAGGATAGAGGCGATAGGTGAGTTGGTGTAAAAATAGAGGATTCATTTATTTGGGAAGGCGATAAGGGAGCTATCGGTTCACCTGATGTTAGAGTGCAGATGCGTTGCGCCCTTCAATTAAATCGGCCCCGACTACATGACTTACCAGACGAAACGCAGAAGTGTAACACGTCTACTTCACGCCGGCCCTCTGTGATGTCGTATCAATTCCCCGGACGGTTCCCGTTCGGGCATCAGCCAAAGCTGTGGGCGGATTAGTCAACTTCTTTGCTGTCTCTACTCACATGATGGTAACGGTTCCACTTATGGTCATCAGCAGCAGTCTTTTAAAGGTTCTCTAGTCGTCTCGTTCGCTGGATGAAAGGTACAGTCTTCTGTGAGTTGGTGGTACTTCCCCGAACGGATCTACCCGTTCGTGGAACAGCCGGAGCTGCTGCGTGGCCCTGCCATAGTTGGAATAATGATAATAGTAGACGTGGGCAGATAAGTCAACTTCTTTGCTGTCTCTACTCACATGATGGTAACCGTTCCGCTCACGGTCTTCAGCAACACATAGTCTTAGGTTCTCTAGTCATCTAAAAAAGGTAAAGCCTTCAGTGATGTTATGATGTAGTGGTGCTTCGCCAAACGTCGCACTGTCTCGTGGCCCCACCACATTCAAACACCTCTCCACGCGTCCAGCCCGCAGCCAGAGCCTGAACCACGCGGCCGCCACGGTCTCCGGCCTCACCACGATCCGCTCGTGCGGCGGGCGGCAGCGCACCCTCGCCAGGGAGTTCGACAAGCTGCAAGACCTGCACAGCTGCGCGTGGACCCTGGTGCTGAACACCAACCGGGCGTTCGGCTTCTGGATGGACATGGTCTGCTGCCTGTACCTCGCCTTCGTCACCTTCAGCTTCTTCCTCTTCGTCGGCAATGGTGAGTCGATTGTTTGTTTTTTAGGGTTCCTCAAAAGGTAAAAAAAGAACCCTTATAAGATCACTCTCTTGTTCGCCTGTCTGCCCGTGTGTCACCACCGATTTCCTCAGGAACTTAGGTACCAAAATTTACCTTTATTATTTTTCGGAATTTTCCCTGCTGGCTATGTAATTATTGCAACTTATCAAAATTGACAATTCTAAGTCAACCGGTACAGTACAGTACAGTCCGGTACAGTCAAGGGAAGTACCCTTTAGGTTTTGGTTCGAAAACGTATATGGTAGTGCCGATGACGTAGAATCAGCACTAATAAAAGAAACATTCTAAAGAATAAAAAAGTTTCCAATTAAACGATCCTCCGAAAGGCGCTCATAAAAATACAATTACATACTGTATAATGGTACAGAACCCTTCGTGCGCGAATCCGACTCGCACTTGGCCGGTTTTTAAAGATGAAAAGAGTATTATTTATGATTTATTTTATTTCCGGTGTTAGTCTGCACCGCAATCGGAACCTACTTTCTAATAGTGTGATGTAGATGTTTTGCCAATCTAAAGCCTCTAAAGTGCTGTAGACGTCCATGTTCGCCGGTATTCACTTAACATCACGTGAACCGCCTGCGCGCTTAGCAATTTTTCGCTTAAAAAAACTTTAACCCCCGTATTGATTTCTTGTTTTAACGCGAATATCATGCATGGTTCAATGTGACGATTTTAAGGATTTTATCGCGTTTTGATTTGATTTTAAATTTTTCACCTTAGCCATCGTTTAAATTGCAGACACCATGGGCGGCAACGTGGGCCTGGCGATCACGCAAGTGCTCGGGCTGGTGGGCATGTGCCAGTACGGCATGCGGCAGACCGCCGAGGTCGAGAACCAAATGACGTCGGTGAGTGTGCTCTGAGGCCGTCACGCACACGAACGCACCCGTACGCACGCGCACGCAAACACGTAAACGAGTGAAACGCACACACGTAACGCGTGAACATATCCGAAGGATTTGTGTTTGCCTCTGATAGCAACTGTGGTAGGGCCACGCAGCACGACCTCACAGAAGACCGTCGTGATGTGAAAAAAATACCTATTTATTTACCCATCGGATAATTTTAGACATAGTAGGTGCTCGTATTTATAAACTTAAGTAACTAAACTCCACCTTAGATTAAGTTTTAGAATTTTAAAATTTTAATTTTTACTAGGTTAAAGTATTGTATGTTTCATAAATTAATTTTTGACTTGTCTACATGTATTATCTGTGCACTCAGTCTTTTTATTTATTTATTTACACAGAAAATATGAGAGAAATTTAATTAAATGAAAGGGCTTGTACAAAGGCCCTTTTGTTTATCATTTTATCCTTAGTAACATTGTTTTAGTGCTACAACTGCTAATAAAACTTAATAACTTTTGTTTTGAGAGCATTAAGTTTATACATATTTCTATCAGGTGGAGAGAATCCTCGAGTACACGAATCTGCCGCCGGAGAGCCCAGTCGACGTCGACGAGAAGGCTCTAAAGGCGGAGCATCCCACACTCGATTTCGATAAATGGCCAAGCAAAGGTGAGTCGCCATTGTTGTATAGCAACCTACTGACAAATAAAAGTAAAAATTAAAGTAATAGCCTATCCTATACATATCCCATAGCTGGGCAAAGGCCTACACGGAGGTTATTAGGGCATAGTCTAAAACGCGGCCCCATTGCGGATTGGCGGACTTCATATATCTATCTATCAGCCATATATAAGCTGTTATTTTACATGCACCATCATCCTTAAAGCATGTTGCGGAATTTAGAATGTTTCGCAGCGTTCATGGACACGAGGGGTTTGATATAACCGCGATAAAATCGACAAAAATATAGAAAATGTTACTATTTTACCGATTTTAATTTTGATTTTTAATTCCCGACGTTTCGAATCGTTCATGGTTGGACGTTGAACGCGTTCATGGACACGGGTACATCACACGCCCAAAAAGGGTTCAAAACGTCGGGGATCAAAAATCAAAAATAAAACGCTATTAAATCCGTAAACTAGTTTCATTTTCATTTAATATGTATAATATTCGTGTGAAAACGAGAAATTGCCAAAAATATTTTCATTTAGTATTTATTGTGTTCGCTTAAACTACAGAAATTGATATGCTCAACTAATGTTCCCCTGTCGAATGAGACATCCGGTGACTGAGAACTTACCAAGCGAGCTGGCGGTTCACCAGATGTTAAGCGATAACCGCCGCCCATTGAAATTGCAACACCCGGGTTGCAGATGCGTTGCCACCTTTTAACCTCACTAACGAAACGCATTAGTTTAACACTTCCAATTTGCGGCGGTCTTCTGCGAGGCCGTGGTACTTACCCGGCCGGGCCTGTCCCTTCGTGCAACAGCCGAATCAGTTACGTGGCCAGTTACGTACCACAGTTGCCACGATCGTCACGCGTTGCTCTTGCAGGGGAGATAGTGTCGTGTCACTTACCTGGCCGGGCCCGTCCGTTCGTGCAACAGCCGAACCTGTTGGCCCTGCCACAGTTGAGACGATCGTTGCTCTTGCAGGGGAGATAGTGTTCGAGGACGTGTCCCTGGAGTACGAGAAGCCACCCAAGAAGGAGCAGGAGCGGCCGCAGCCCGCGCCCAGGGTAGAGGAGCCGGCGTACGCGATCAAGGGCGTCAACTTCAGGGTCGAGGCGGCGGAGAAGGTGGCCGTGGTGGGCAGGACTGGCGCCGGCAAGAGCTCGCTCATCGCCGCCTTGTTCAGGTACGGATTCATTGTCCGTCTCCAAACGCCCCCTGCTGCTTGGAATGTGAATGTTTGCGGAAAAGTGTATGGTGTTGTGTGCTCTTACGTACGCACACTAGATGGCGCTAAGCGTTGCTGAAAAAGTATCGGTCGCTTCGTTTAATTTGTAAAGCGTCTGGGCTTCGAATCCGCGCCGAATACTGTTAATTTTTTAAAGTTTTAGTAAGTTTCACCTGGAATACAGTGACTGGCAGTTAAAATGAAAAAAATATTACTAAATATGGTATATTCGATGCGTTGGTGGAATGAACAATCGTCATGTGATACAGATGATGGTCAAACGACTAGGACATGAGGTTAAGTGATTACCGCCGCCCATGGATATCTGCAACACCTGGGGTTTTATAGACGCGTTGATAACGATTTGAAAAGTGGGCCCCGGTTACCTCACTCATTAGACGAAAGGCGAAAGTCCACTCCACGCAGGTATTCTGTGGGGTCGTGGTACTCATCCGGATGGAGCCGCCCGTTTGTGCAACAGAGAAGACTTGCGTCGCCCTACCACAGCGAAGAATCAGCCAGATCGAAAAGATTGCGCCATTGCCCGTAAGTTGGGCAACGTCCGCTCTCATTTCTTTTAGATCCTGCCCAGAGCGTGAGCATCGAAATCGCCCCGCGAGTCGTACAAGTTTGCATCTGCAACCCAACGGTCGTTTCAAATGCCATTGGGCGGCGGTCATAACATAACAGTGGGCTAACCGCCAGCTCGCCTGCCATCATCATCATAATTTCCGCCTGTAGGCGTCCACTGCTGAACATAGGCCTCCTCTAGGGATTTCCACCTCGATCGGTTTGCAGCGGCCTGCATCCAGCGAAGTCCCGCGACTTTAGACAGGTCGTCAGTCCGTCTCGCGCTTGGCCGCCCCACTCTGCGTTTTCCAACACAAACTGTAGCTTTAGTTTGTTTTGTTTTCCATTTTTATTTTGTTTGAAGTTATATTTTTTCTTTCATTGTACAATTATTTATTGTTGAGAGTGTTTTTTGTGCATGTTGTGCTCGCTCATAGAAGAACATTCACTTGTGTGTTAAGTTCCGTGTCAACTTTATCTGTGTCCATTATTCTGTAATGTGAGTGTAATGTTCGGTTTGCGATCCAAATTGAAATTAAATCCAAAAAAAAAAAAAAAAAAAAAAAAACACGCGGTCTCCACTCGGGAGCTTTGCAGCCCGATTGGCCGTCGGTTCTGCGAGCTGTGTGCCCTGCCCATTGCCACTTGAGCGTGCGGACCCGCCCGCCATACTCCAACGTAATGCCCCCAGGCTGAGCAAGGTGTCGGGCCGCATCACGGTGGACGGTGTCAGCGCCGAGATGGCGGGGCTCCGCGCGTGGCGCTCGCGGCTGTGCGCGCTGCCGCAGCGGCCCGCCCTCTTCGCGGCCACGCTGCGGGACAATTTGGACCCCGAGGGCCGGTACAGCGACGCGCAGATACACGCCGCCCTGGACCAGGTGAGGGTTGGCACCGCAGCGCGGCTAACGCTGGCTTTCGGTCGGCGGCGTTCTTCCTCTTTTCGAGTAAATTTTCGAAGTGAAACTTCCAATGCGACCCCCGACTAGGTTGCGTTAAACGTTTAACGCCACCGCGGAGGCGGTATGAAGGCACCGTCGCGTTAAACGTTCAACGCTCATGCGGAGGGAATGGTAAGAGACAGAGCGAGAGTGAACGTGCCACTGGAAGTTTCACTTCTTCCGCGCGGACTCTGCGCACTCTTTTTTTAAACATTGCTCTTACTTTAGGACAACATTATCCTGTGTTCTAAGGACGTTTTACAAACGCAAATTTCACGTAGACACCCAGATGCGAATCAACTATCTGTGGGCCACACTAATAGTTGTCCCGTGTGGGAATCGAACCCACGGACCCCGACGCCGAAGCCGATACCTTGGCATCAGCGCCACAGAGTCATCTATTTGCTATGCCAAGGGCATTTCAATAAATGTTGTTATAGGTCACCGGTTTACTTTTGGGAGTTTAGGTAGCCCTTTGCGTTATAAGACTAAAGTATCTTCTGCCTGCCGTAAAAGACGACAAAATGGGGATTTTGGCTTCAGGTGCATTGGTGATTCCACCCTAGGGCCCACAAATAAATAACAAATAAATAAATATTTCAGGATATATTTTTACACAACGTTATCTAGTCCCAAACTAAGCAAAGCTTGTACTTTAGGTACTAGATAACTGATAAACACATATTTCTTTTGTAAATAAATACATGTTATACATTCAGCGTGTCGTTACAACCGTGACAATAAATGAGCACATACAGAGGATAACTTTTGAAAATTGTATTAAATATTTACATTTTTTAAACATCAATATTTACCGAGTTATTAAATTTTACAAAACAAACAATTTTAGAACACCCTTACGTATAAAACTGTAACGTAAAGTTCATTTGTAATGGTCACAAAGCATATGTATGGGTTGAATGAATTCTTTTTAAAATTTAGGAAGTTTTGGTATAAATTTACCTCTTGAAAAAAACTCATTGTAATGCTAAATTTCCTAAGTAAATTCCCGAGTTGCGGCGTGTTAGTTACACCGTCCGCGTCGTCCGCAGGTGGAGCTTCGGGAGGCGGTGTCCGCGCTCCCGGCGGGTCTGATGACGAAGGTGGGCGACGGCGGCGGGAACCTGTCCTCGGGGCAGCGGCAGCTGGTGTGCCTCGCGAGGGCCGCGCTGGCCAACTGCGCCGTGCTGGTGCTGGACGAGGCGACCGCCAACGTGGACACCGAGTGAGCGATATACATGACGCGTGTCCACACTGCGCGGCGTCATATGTTCCGCTTTACACGTATAAGCGAATGCGACAGATGTTAGCTTCCGTTCAAAGACGCGTGTCCACACTGCGCGACGTGATATATTCCGCTTTACACGTATAAGCGAATGCGACAGATGTTAGCTGCCGTTCAAAGACGCGTGTCCACACTGCGCGGCGTCATATGTTGTTCCGCTTTACACGTATAAGTGAATGCGACAGATGTTAGCTGCCGTTAAAAGACGCGTGTCCACACTGCGCGACGTCATATATTCCGCTTTACACGTATAAGCGAATGCGACAGATGTTAGCTTCCGTTCAAAGACGCGTGTCCACACTGCGCGGCTTCATGTAATGCGACATATGATGTAGAACGTATGACGGAAAGAGTTGGCTGTCTATAGTTGCAATCTAATGGCGTTTAAAAATACTCTGCTTTACATTCTAAAGCCATAATACATGTGAGAGTGACAGATGATATACAGCGTGTCGTTACCACCGCGACAATAAATGAACACACATATAGAGGATAACTTTTTATAATTGTATTAAGCATTTACTTTCTTTAAACATCAATATTTAGCGCGTTATTAAATTTTCCAAAACAAACAATTTTAGAACACCCTTTTACGTATAAAACTGTAAAGTTCATTTGTAAACACACACACTTCATTCGGTCACAAAGCATATGAATGGGTTGAATGAGTTTAAAAGAGACAAAACATACTGTTAGAAGGAGAGGCTTGTAATGCGACGCTGTGGCGCGAGTTGTATAGGATGTTACAAATTTTGTTTCTTTTTTACTTAATTAGTTTGTTTGAAAAATATTTTTTTTAATTATGGATTTTGTTTAACGTTAATATTTTTTTATGATTATTCGCAAGTAGCGTTATACGTGTGTTAATTTATTGTCGCGATGGTAACGACACGCTGTATATAATTATTATAGAATTGCAATTTAATTACGAATGACGGAAAGAGATAGCAGTCTAATTACGTTTAAAAGTTGGGTTTAAAAATTGTTCCGCTTTACATTCTAACGATATATACGACGCGTGGTCACACTGCGCGGCGTTATATGTTTCGAATAAGTGAATGCGACATATGATGTAGAACGTATGACGGAAGAAGCTGGCAGTCTATAGAGTTGCGATCTTATTATGTTTAAAAATAGTTCCGCTTATCATTCTAAGACATGTATAAGTGAATGCGACAGATGATATAGAAGGTATGATACGGGAAGAGATAGCAGTGTATAGAGTTGAAAACTAATTAAGTTTAAAAATAGTTCCGCTTTACATTCTAAGACATGTATAAGTGAATGCGACAAATGATATAGAAGGTATGATACGGAAAGAGATAGCAGTGTATAGAGTTGAAAACTAATTACGTTTAAAAATAGTTCCGCTTTACATTCTAAGACATGTATAAGTGAATGCGACAGATGATATAGAAGGTATGATACGGAAAGAGATAGCAGTGTATAGAGTTGAAAACTAATTACGTTTAAAAATAGTTCCGCTTTACATTCTAAGACATGTATAAGTGAATGCGACAGATGATATAGAAGGTATGATACGGAAAGAGATAGCAGTGTATAGAGTTGAAAACTAATTACGTTTAAAAATAGTTCCGCTTTACATTCTAAGACATGTATAAGTGAATGCGACAGATGATATAGAAGGTATGATACGGAAAGAGATAGCAGTGTATAGAGTTGAAAACTAATTACGTTTAAAAAAAATAGTTCCGCTTTACATTCTAAGACATGTATAAGTGAATGCGACAGATGATATAGAAGGTATGATACGGAAAGAGATAGCAGTGTATAGAGTTGAAAACTAATTACGTTTAAAAATAGTTCCGCTTTACATTCTAAGACATGTATAAGTGAATGCGACAAATGATATAGAAGGTATGATACGGAAAGAGATAGCAGTGTATAGAGTTGAAAACTAATTACGTTTAAAAAATAGTTCCGCTTTACATTCTAAGACATTATAAGTGACACAGATGATATAGAAGTGATACGGAAAGAGATAGCAGTGTATGAGTTGGAAACTAATTACATTTAAAAATAGTTCCGCTTTACATTCTAAGACATGTATAAGTGAATGCGACAAATGATATAGAAGGTATGATACGGAAAGAGATAGCAGTGTATAGAGTTGAAAACTAATTACGTTTAAAAATAGTTCCGCTTTACATTCTAAGACATGTATAAGTGAATGCGACAAATGATATAGAAGGTATGATACGGAAAGAGATAGCAGTGTATAGAGTTGAAAACTAATTACGTTTAAAAATAGTTCCGCTTTACATTCTAAGACATGTATAAGTGAATGCGACAGATGATATAGAAGGTATGATACGGAAAGGAAAGAGTTATAGCAGTTGTAATTAGATTTAAAAATAGTTCCGCTTTACATTCTAGATGTATAAGTTTGCGTTATAAAGGTATGATACGGGAAAGAGATAGAAGTGTAAGAGTTAAAATTATGTTTAAAAATAGTTCCGCTTTACATTCTAAGACATGTATAAGTGAATGCGACAGATGATATAGAAGGTATGATACGGAAAGAGATAGCAGTGTATAGAGTTGAAAACTAATTACGTTTAAAAATAGTTCCGCTTTACATTCTAAGACATGTATAAGTGAATGCGACACACAGATGATATAGAAGGTATGATACGGAAAGAGATAGCAGTGTATAGAGTTGAAAACTAATTACATTTAAAAATAGTTCCGCTTTACATTCTAAGACATGTATAAGTGAATGCGACAAATGATATAGAAGGTATGATACGGAAAGAGATAGCAGTGTATAGAGTTGAAAACTAATTACGTTTAAAAATAGTTCCGCTTATCATTCTAAGACATGTATAAGTGAATGCGACAGATGATATAGAAGGTATGATACGAAAGAGATAGCAGTGTATAGAGTTGAAAAACTAATTACGTTTAAAAATAGTTCGATTCTAAGACATGTATAAGTGAATGCGACAGATGATAGAAGGTATGATACGGAAAGAGATAGCAGTGTATAGAGTTGAAAACTAATTACGTTTAAAAATAGTTCCGCTTTACATTCTAAGACATGTATAAGTGAATGCGACAAATGATATAGAAGGTATGATACGGAAAGAGATAGAGTGTATAAGTTAAAAAACTAATTCGTTTAAAAATAGTTCCGCTTTACATTCTAAGAATAACATGTATAAGTGAATAGACAGATGATATAGAAGGTATGTACGGGAAGAGATAGCAGTGTATAGAGTTGAAAACTAATTACGTTTAAAAAATAGTTCCGCTTTACATTCTAAGACATGTATAAGTGAATGCGACAGATGATATAGAAGGTATGATACGGAAAGAGATAGCAGTGTATAGAGTTGAAAACTAATTACATTTAAAAATAGTTCCGCTTTACATTCTAAGACATGTATAAGTGAATGCGACGTGAATGCGACAGATGATATAGAAGGTATGATACGGAAAGAGATAGCTGTGTATAGAGTTGAAAACTATATACGTTTTAGAGTAGTTCCAGTGTACATTCTTAGAAATGTATAAGTGAATGCGACAAAATGATATAGAAGGATATGAGTTGAAAACTAATTACGTTAAAAGATTTCTAAGCAGTATAAGTGAATACAGATGAGAAGGTTGATAAAAGAGATAGCAGTGTATAGAGTTGAAAACTAATTACGTTTAAAAAATAGTTCCGCTTTACATTCTAAGACATGTATAAGTGAATGCGACAGATGGATATAGAAGTGATACGGAAAGAGATAGCAGTGTATGATATAGAAGGTATGATTTTAAAAATGTATACGGAAAGATAGCATGTGTATAGAGTTAAAACTAATTACGTTTAAAAATAGTTCCGCTTTACATTCTAAGACATAGTATAAGTGTGAATGCGACAGAATGATATAGAAGGTATGATACGGAAAGAGATAGCAGTGTATAGAGTTGAAAACTAATTACATTTAAAAATAGTTCCGCTTTACATTCTAAGACATGTATAAGTGAATGCGACAAATGATATAGAAGGTATGGGAATACGGAAAGAGATAGAGTTGTAATAGAGTTGTGAAAACTAATTACGTTTAAAAATAGTTCCGCTTTACATTCTAAGACATGTATAAGTGAATGCGACAGTTGATATAGAAGGTATGATACGGAAAGAGATAGCAGTGTAATGAAAACTAATTACGTTTAAAAATAGTTCCGCTTTACATTCTAAGACATGTATAAGTGGAATGCGACAGATGATATAGAAGGTATGATACGGAAGAGATAGCAGTGTATAGAGTTGAAAACTAATACGTTTAAAAAAAATAGTTCCGCTTTACATTCTAAGACATGTATAAGTGAATGCGACAGATGATATAGAAGGTATGATACGGAAAGAGATAGCAGTGTATTAGAGTATAGAGTTGAAAACTAATTACGTTTAAAAAAATAGTTCCGCTTTACATTCTAAGACATGTATAAGTGAATGCGACAGATGATATAGAGATAGGTATGTTGTAACGGAAAACTTAAGATAGCAGAAGACATGTATAAGTGAATGCGACAGATGATATAGAAGGTATGATACGGAAAGGAGATAGCAGTGTATAGAGTTGAAAACTAATTTTACATTTAAAAAATAGTTCCGCTTTACATTTAAGACATACAAATGATTAATATAGAAGGTATGATACGGAAAGAGATAGCAGTGTATAGAGTTGAAAACTAATTACGTTTAAAAAATAGTTCCGCTTTACATTCTAAGACATGTATAAGTGAATGCGACAGATGATATAGAAGTATGATACGGAAAGAGATAGCAGTGTATAGAGTTGAAAACTAATTACGTTTAAAAATAGTTCCGCTTTACATTCTAAGACATGTATAAGTGAATGCGACAGATGATATAGAAGGTATGATACGGAAAGAGATAGCAGTGTATAGAGTTGAAAACTAATTACGTTTAAAAATAGTTCCGCTTTACATTCTAAGACATGTATAAGTGAATGCGACAGATGATATAGAAGGTATGATACGGAAAGAGATAGCAGTGTATAGAGTTGAAAACTAATTACGTTTAAAAATAGTTCCGCTTTACATTCTAAGACATGTATAAGTGAATGCGACAGATGATATAGAAGGTATGATACGGAAAGAGATAGCAGTGTATAGAGTTGAAAACTAATTACGTTTAAAAATAGTTCCGCTTTACATTCTAAGACATGTATAAGTGAATGCGACAAATGATATAGAAGGTATGATACGGAAAGAGATAGCAGTGTATAGAGTTGAAAACTAATTACGTTTAAAAATAGTTCCGCTTTACATTCTAAGACATGTATAAGTGAATGCGACAGATGATATAGAAGGTATGATACGGAAAGAGATAGCAGTGTATAGAGTTGAAAACTAATTACGTTTAAAAATAGTTCCGCTTTACATTCTAAGACATGTATAAGTGAATGCGACAGATGATATAGAACGTATGACGGAAAGAGATAGCAGTCTATAGAGTTACAATCTAATTACACCGATTTGTGTAGTTTGAGTGCCTCGGTTTAGGTGCGCTAGTGTCGTATCTACCTCATGTTTCTATATTACCATTGGTAATATAGGGCATATCGCGGCAAAAACCTGGTGCCGTACGCATTTCATTGTTATTGAACTGGGACCCCGGGATACACCTGACAACTCTCAAAATCGAGCGACATTACACATTTAACGGTGGTAGGGCCACACAGCAGCCTCGGCTGTTGCACGAATGGGCAGGCTCGTCCGGGTAATTACCGCGACCTCACAGAAGACCGGCGTAAAGTGCAAGTGTAATACTTTCGCGTTTCGTCTGGTAAGTGAGGTGGCCGGAGCAGAATTTTCAAAAGGTTGTCAACGCATCTGCAAACCCTCGGGTGTATCAGAACTCTATGGGCGGTGGTACGGTTAACATCAGGTGAACCACCACTTGGCAACTTTTCACATAAAAAAAAAAAGAAACATTATCCAACGTGATTTATATCTTGTGCCGACCACGATAAGGGAGGATGATAAACCTTAACCGACCTTGCTCTTTTTCTCAGGACGGACAAGCACATCCAGGTCACGATCAGGAACAAGTTCGCCAACTCCACGGTGCTGACCATCGCCCACCGGCTCAACACCGTCATGGACTACGACAGGATCATCGTCATGGACAAGTGAGTGCCGGATTGAATTATAGCAATACCAGGTCTAACACATAATAAAAACCGCCCAAGTGCGAGTCGGACTCGCGCATGAAGGGTAGTAAGTGGTACGGAACCATTATCTATAAAAGCAGCAAAAAAGTCATGACTGTTGTATGGGGGCCCCCACTGAAATATTTTTTCATCCTGTTTTTTTAGTATTTGTTGTTATAGCGGCAATAGAAATACATCATCTGTGAAAATTTCAATTGTATAACTATCACGGTTCACGAGATACAGCCTGGTGACAGACAGACAAACAGCGAAGTCTTAGTAATAGGGTTCCGTTTTACCCTTTGGGTACGGAACCCTGAAAATGGCAAATAAATGAAAGTTTAACTACCATCGAATTCGTTTGCTGTAGGGAGTTCATATCCAACTGTTTACAATATTTTAACTGTGGTGGTGCCACGCAACAGTTTTTTATGTGAAAAGTTGCCAATCGAGCAGACGGTTCACCTGATGTTAAGTGAATACCGCCGCCCATGGACATCCGCTACACCCGAGGGTTACAGATGCGTTGACAACCTTTTGAAAATAGGGCTCCGGTAACCTCACACTCCAGACGAAACGCGAAAGTATTATACTTCCAATTTGCGCCGGTCTTCTGTGAGGTCGTGGTACTTACCCGGACGAGCCTGCCCATTCGTGCAACAGAGCTGCTGTGTGGCTCTACCACCGTGCACCAGTTCGCTGTTGCACGGATGGGCAAGTCCGTCCGGGGAAGAACCACGACCTAATAGAAGACCGGCGTGAATTGGAGGTGTTATACTTCTGCGTTTCGTCTGGTGAGTGAGGCAGCCGGGGGCCCACTTAATTAAAAGGTGACAACCCATCTGCAACCCTACGGGTGTTGAAAATGTCTATGTGCGACTGTTATCACTTAATATAATACTTTACTCTATAATTTATTTGCCATAACCCCAAATAATGAGAAAAATGCATACAGAAATATGAACAAAAGCAAAAAGACATTAAAACAAAACCATAATACACAAAAAACTATATAAATAACAGTTTGGCAAAAAGGTAATAAGTTGAGCATTTTCTGAAAATTTCTCAGTGCTGATTTTCAGCTTATTCCTTAGTAAAGCTTACATAAGGGGACCGCCAGCTCGCAACCTTTGCAACTGAAGACTAAAATAGAGACTTATAGGTAGCAATGGTCGCTGGGACTTACTACCCAGCTTCCGCACAAAATACAATACTTTGTTGAAATTAGAACAAGAGAACTGAACATATGGTATCATTTCAGGGGTCACGTGGTGGAGTCTGGTCATCCTTACGAGCTCCTTACACAGGCGAGCGCCCAGTCCAAGATGGAGCTTCCCACGCGAAGGACCCTCTTGACCAAGAGTCAAGTGAGTGGAATTCCTCAGAAATGTCTCCATTCCTTCCCGACGAAGAAAGATGGAGTAGAAGTTACTCGGGAACTTTTGTGTTTTTACATTAGCGTTGCGTGTGCAAATTGATATAAATGGAAAGTGTAAAGAAATAATTATGACAAATAATATTTTTAAATAACATTTAAAAATAATTTTCGTTGATCGACACAAGGTCGTTCGAGCTACACTTTTGCGTATAATTTTTTCATTATATGTGGGGCTAGTGGTCGATTTTAATACACTTGTGGTATTGCACAAAATATGTTGCCCTTATGGATGATGTTTTAGATGAAGTACATAATGTTAATTGAGTACTCCATAATTAAAAAAAAATATATAAATATTTTACTTTAACGAGAAATATCCAGGAAAATCAATTCAAACATTGTTTGTATATCCCGCTAAGAGTGGTCACCCTATTGATAAGCGGTTAGTAATTATGCGTTCAGCGAACAGTTTCAGTGCTCGTGAATAGGTTATTGTATTGAGACCGTAAAGTAGGAATTTCTAATAGGGTGTCCATAATGTTTGAAAAAAAGTATGAGGTCACAAGTACGTACCAGATTCAGATTTAAAATCAAATTCTGCATATGCTCTGTTAATATGTTCGTCGTCTATAAAATAACCCTGTATACATAGATAGGCCATAGTACTGAGAGGCTGAAGTGAGATACCTATCGCTATCTCCCTTCAGCGTCGTATTACCTTTCTTTCTAAAATGAAAGAAAGCAAATACTTGTAATTAATCTAGGAGGCTGAGTATTGATAAAGCTGCATTTCCAGGCACCTCTAGCCATTCCTGAGAACTTCCCATACGACGCCGCGGCGGAAAGGTCGGACGACGTTAACGAGACTTTCGTACTCTCCCGGGACAGAATACGAACGTACTCCAACAGGTAAGCTATATGATTAATAAAGTTTATCGTGACACGAAATTTATCTTAGTTTAGCATGACTTGGATATGGAGATCAGCGTCCATGGTCGCGAAAGGTCGGAGGAAAGTTTGTCACAAATTGTGTGAAGCCTTTGGAACGCGACAATTAAAATAAGATGAACCCGTAAAATAGTTCAAGTATACTTTAATGTACACCACAAAGAATTTGAAACAATTAGTATAAAATAAGTCTTAAAAGCTAGGTACAATAAGGCGGTCTTATCGCTAAAAAGCGATCTCTTCCAGACAACCATAAGACGAGGAAAAATAAACTAATAAATAGTGTGAGGTGGTGTGCTCAATAAACTTGCTTAATACCAAAATAGACTTAAATATAATAAAATAAAAAGAAATTATAATAAACATACATAAATAGATATGTAATATATACGAATAACATAAATAAATATGGTAAAAATAAATATAGTATTATGTTTACTGTGCGTATGTATGTCGCAAAGACTAAAATAATAAAAACCCGCCAAGTGCGAGTCGGACTCGCACACGAAGGGTCCCATACCATTATCTATATGCCTGTTGTATGTGAGCCGGAGCCCCATTTAAATATTTTTTATTCTGTTTTTAGTATTTGTTTTTATACGGCTACAGAAATACATCATCTGTGAAAACTTCAACTGTCTAACTATCTATCCTGGTGACAGACGGACAGGCATATAAACAGGCAGATAGATAGCGGAGTCTTAGTGATAGGGTCCTTACCCTTTGGGTACGGAAGCCTAAAAATTAATCTTGAAAAATTTTAAGAGCAATGGTGACATCACTCCTATATGTGTAATATTCATTGTTGAATGTTATTTGTAAGGTGTCGAGATAATAATTTCTTGTATTTACGTTTACACATTATAAATGAAACAAATTTTACGGATTTATCGCGTCGCGTTTTAGACTGTCCCTTGATCAAGGAGTCTGTCCCGTGACCATGAACGCTGTAAAGGGTTCGAAACGTCGGGAATTAAAATTAAAAATAAACGCGATAAATCCGTGAAATTAGTTTCATTTATAAGGTGTCGAGATATTCGCGCCGTGAGGTCATCGGCCGCTTATCTTTGTGGGCAAAGCGTTTGGGCGCGAAAAATGAAGACGCGGGTTCGAATCCCGCAGCGAGGAAAGTTAATTATCTACAAAAAGAAATTAAAATTATGTCATAAATTATTACGCGCTTTCACAGGTCCGAGATGAGCGACCACGACGGTGGTATTTTCAAGACTTTGGTGGAACAAACCGGCCCAGAGACGGCAGCCTTACTTTACAGCATGGCAGAGGAGGTAAATATTTTACACGCGCGCACGCAAGCAAGCACGCACACACGCACACACGCTCGTACCAACACTGATCCATACTTTCATTGCTTATTTTTAATGGATCAAATTATATTTTCTTTTGTTATGGACCCACATGCTCCCAGACAACTAAAAATAACAGTTAAAATAACATTTAAAAACAAATTATATAAACACAAGACCGTGGTTTCTTGTCTATTCTTCTCTGGGTTCAATATCATTGTGCGGGTGAGAGATTTTGTAGTCAGTAGTTTCTAGAGCTGGCGGTTCACCTGATGTTAAATGATTACCACCGCCCACCTTTTAATTAAGTGGGCCCCGGCTACCTTACTCACCAAATGAAAGGCAGAAATATAACAGTTCCACTTCACACCGGTCTGTCGGGTCGTGGTACTTCCCCAGACGGACCTGCCCACCAGTCTATTAGGTGATAACGTTGGTCGACCAACAGAATTTGACATCTATACAGGGTGGCGTTCCAACTGCAATAAATGAACACTCGTCTAACGCTACTTGCCAATAATCATAAAAAAATGTAAACGTTAAAAATAAAACGAATTAAAAAATCTTTCAAACAAACTAAACTAAACAAACAATTAAGTAATAACGAAATAAAATTCGTAACATCCTATACAACTACAACTGAGTGATTCATACATTCGGAGACTTTTTCATTCATTGCCACAGCGTCGCATTACAAGCCTCTCATTCTAAAAGTATGTTTTGTCTCTTTTATATTCATTCAACCCATTCATATGCTTTGTGACCTTTACAAATTAACTTTAAGTTACAGTTCTATACTTAAGGATGTTCTAAAATTGTTTGTTTTGGAAAGCTTAATAGCTCTGTAAATATTGATGTTTAAAGAATATAAATGTTTTTTAGTACAATTTTAGAAAGTTATTCTCTATATGTGTGTTCATTTATTGTCGCGGTTGTAACGGCACGCTGTAAATTAATACGTGAAACAAAAACTTTGAAAATTGCGCGGACGGAGGAGTATGAAATTTCCCACCCTTATATTTTATATAGAGTATGAGTGCAGAATGGTAATGTATTTTTTTTAATTATGCACGAAAAATACATAAAAGCAATATAGAAAACATTACACACACTACCATGTATTTGACACGCAGACGCATATATACTCTTTTGTTTATTGTATATTGTATATGAGAATAGATTAATATTGTTCAAAATCATAATTTAAATTAATATTATTAACACTAGTATTATTTATTAGACATAATATGTGTTTCTTTTACAAACAAAGTAGTGAAACATATTGAATTCGGTACCATTGTCATTTATTAATAAACTTTATATCTTTACAGAGCTACAAGAAGATGCAAGCGAACAAGAAGAACTCCTGAGTGTAGAAAAATTATTGAACAAATAAATTATTAAGATGCGGCAACAACGATTTAGGAAATGGTTTCCATGAGGTTCTATCAGGGAATCGGTTATGTTTAGGATGGATACACTTCGAACCATCCAGATCGAGTTTTACAAGGCTGGACCTTAGCTTTAGAGTAATTATAATGCATGTTTAAATTTCCACCAGGTACGAAACGTACCAGCCCTCCCGAATATTGTTATTTAGTACTTAATTACGTGCTTAAACCAGTACATGAGTTATCGTAATCATGGTCATCACTTCACCAGAAACCGCTGCTGAAGAAAGACCCAAAACAGCTACCTATTCGGTGCAAAAGTAAACTATATCTTTATTCATCCTTTGGCCACCCGAGAGAAGGCGCAAATTTGTACTAAAAGACTAATTGCCAACAACATTACTTATATTATATCACCTTATTGTCTACATGAGCAGGAACTTTGAAAAATGTCCCGTATGCCAACTCGATAAGGTCTAATTTTCTTCAAAAGAAAACTGTTGATGAAAATTCGTGTCTTGCCCTCCTAAAATCACCTCGAATATCTATGCGAATATATTTAATCCTCCTATATAGTTACTAATACTTTTAATTCCTGTGCATGTACTTACAAAGGTGACATACATTTTTGTATTTTAATGGAAGTAAATCTGGTGCTATAAGCTTAAACGCTTCAAAACTTTGTTATAGTGCCTTGTTATACTTTGATAAAAGTTAATATAATTCTTGTAAATGTAATGTAAAATAATCTTTTCACGTAAATGTTAGTTCAACTCAAAATCAAACCGCTGCCCTTGCGTTTAAGTTACTTTTTAAATGCAAGAACTTGTTAGTAGAGTTCGATCCATCGATTAAGAAACTGAATAGAACAGCTGTAACGATATTTTTTTAATCATTCTTGTAAATACAGATAAAATATTTTTTCTCGTTTTTTTTTTTTTTGTTAACTCCCTACAGTTATTTTAATGTATATTGCATTTTTTATAGTATGACGTTTTATTGTAATACATAATCGTTCTTCGTATGATGAAAGAAATTTCATTGAGGATGGCATTTTTAAATTGGTCTCCTTTAATCATAGTTTTACAAGATGTGAGAATTATACTTGATTTTTAGTACTTAAATTAAATACGTACTTAAATTCTACTGTTACTGTTTTGTATTGATTAAATGTTTTGAATGATGATATCAAAATTAATCAGGGTTTGATGACTTTTTTAATTGTTTTTACTCACACCGCTAGACCGCGAGACTGTTAATAAAAGAAATTGCCCAGATAGCCCAAATTGCCCATATTGTCCAGATTGCCCACATTGTCTGTAGGTCACATTTCAGGTCCAGGAAATAATCGACAAGAAACCCTGGTTTTTTATGCATTGGATTTTTTATATAGTATAAATCGATGTAATTATTTACCGTCGCGAGATTTTTGTCGGAAATGACAAAGGTTCCTGCTGGTAATATGTCCTAGCAATTTAAAAACAATAAGTGTGTTTAGCGAATTACTAAGCCTTTACTAGTTAGATTTTTACCTCCTTGATACCCTCCTCTATATCGGGTACAAATTTATGAATCTATAACTATATGCTATAGTTATGTATATCCAATATACATGAAATATGTCGTGTTGATGCTTAATAAATCCAGTTGTAACGACGTGCCTTAGTCTCGTTAAGTTGATGCTTAACGAACGGTGCCTTGGCCATAACTTAATGCCGACGCTTAAGTTAATTGTGATACAATTCCGTGGTCAGTATTTACATCGCCTTTGCTTTGGGAGAATCGCAGAGGTTGATTTCTGCTAGTAATGTGAAATTTATGTAGTACGGTTTATATATGGCTTTATTTCCGCGTTTCGTTGAAATATATTGTTAATTGTCTACTCGAAGTGTCTATATTGGAGCGTTGTTTGTACTCGTAAGTTTGTATGAAATAATTGATGTTAGTACCAGTGCTATCGTTTTGAAATCAACCCCTGCCAAAGATGTGAAGGCGATTTAGTTTTATAAATTAGTTGATTGTGTCCGAGGCATTTGTTTTGCGTATTCATAATTTAGTGTCAATTATATATATGTATGTAATTATTAATTATTTACAATTATTAGCTAATGAATAGTTCGAATGTTTTAATTACAGCGGTAGGCGATTACAGGGTTGTAAATAATAATATCAAGGGAATTATATTGTCCTCGTTTCGCTTTACTTAATGTGATATAAATGTTACCATCAATGTGAATAAATATTTAGAAATTTCCCTACTTTTATTTTTTATGCTACCATCCTGTACTGACTCTGTCAACCAACTTTAAGAGTGAAGTTCTGTCCATAGCACAAAAACCCGATGTCTGTATCCTGAAGGAGCATTCGGAATATCCATAAGTTTTATAAGTTCTGCATTAGTGTCGGACTATTGCTTCGACGCGTTACTTCAGGCTAATGTTCATGCACTCGCACATAAAATACGCAAAACTGATCTTTTAAAAGAGTTTCTGTTAAAAAGAGTCAAGGAAACGGTTGATTCATTATCGGGCCATTATATTGACGACCCGAATGGCGTAGTGGGTAGTGTACCTGCCTCCTGCGCCAGAGGGTGTGGGTTCGATCCCCACTACTGGAAGAATATTGTGCGATGAACATAGTGTCTGGGTGTTTATATATCTATAATATGTATTTATTTACAAAAGAAAAGTATGTTTAAGCATGTTTATCAGTTTTCTAGTATCCATAGTACAAGCTTTGCTTAGTTTGAGGACTAGAGAATGTTGTGTAAAATATTTATTTAAAAATATTTATTAAAAGGATAGAGAATAGTGACTAGTACGAAACGCTGACTTGGCAAGAGTTTGGAGAGAATTTGCGAAAAAGCGTCATCCCAGAAATGTCCTACACTGCGATAACGCGGTCACAAATTCCCCTTATATATATATTTTGCCTTTCAAGGGCTTAAAAGTGTAACAGATGACGCATTCGCACAGCCACTGCGAGCTATATGGGTCTTTTGCATCACTTATGCCTTTTAGTTTAGTTTCCGAAAATAAACGGTAATCTTGAAGGCGTAACGATTGATAAGCCATAGTCTAATATAGGTATATACTGAAGTTATACGTTCTTTTGGCGTGATTTTAAAAAATTATGAGTGTGAATTTTTAAAATGCGTGACACCAAATTCATGGTGTTACCATGGCAACCAATAACAACTTTTTAACTTGCCTATAATTACAAATGATTCTCGATGATGCCTATAATTACAAATGATCTCGTGAACAGTGATAGTAAGACAGTTGAAATTTTCACCGATGATGTATTTCTGTTGCCACCATAACAAAAAATACTAAAAAATAGAATAAAAAAATATTTAAGTGGGCCTCCCAAACAACAGACATGATTTTTATGCAGTTTCTATAGCTAATGGTACGGAACCCTTCGTGTGCGAGACCGATTCGAACTTGGCCGGTTTTTCAAATCCCACACAACAGCGCGTAGGTACATAGAAATATCGAAACTTTTGGTATTATCGATTCTGTCGCGGCGACGGTTCTCCGGGGAAGTACTACTAGCTTGAATGAAGGACTATATATATATATTAAAAGTATTTATAATAAAAATGTAGCTGGTCGTTGTCTGTTCATGGAAGATATTTGAGAAAAACAATTATTGAGGGCCTTTATCAACGCAGATCAGAACCCATAACAATGATTGTAAAAATTTTTGTCCGTGCGTTTGTACGCGCTAATCTCAGAAACGGCTTAACCGATTCCGTTTGGTTTTAAGCTTCACTTAACATTTAGTGTTCAGTTTTATTTTAATCGTCCATAAATAAAAAAGTTATATCAACCTCATTGAAGATTTGTGCGATAAAATGGTATATAATAGCCACGGTCGAGTTGGATGAAACTATTGTTAACTATATATTATGGTCTGTAAATTGATGATGATTGTAAGTTTAAGTAAATATAAAAAAAACCGCCAAGTGCAAGTCACAAAATGCATTGGGAAACTCAGTGTACGTTAGTGTGTGTACTTACAGTATTATTGTACGTGTCGGTGTACAGTTAAATATGTACTTATGCTGTGCCCAAATGAATGTACGGAATTCATTTATTGAAAAAAGTAAACTAATTTTGTATGCAGACTTCATAGTGTTACATCATCCCAAGTTATTATTCACTGTGATAGTCCACCAAATAGAATCGGTTATTACACGAGCAGGCTTATCCGAGGGTGAGGTCTGAGGGCCCAATTATTTGAAAGTCAGTAGCCCATTTACCACTCCTTAGGAGTTCTAGTCCACGGGTGGTAATCACGTAACATCAGGTAAACCGCTTGCTGACTTGTCATCTTCTCACATAAACAAAAAATGTTTCGACTACCTTGTAAAGTCCCAAAACCCGACTGCTATCTTTTTTCTGAGTACCGAAAGAAGAAAACGTAACATTAGAACATCGATTGGATCGAACATCCCTAACTACTGGGTCACCACTGATAAAGTAATTTGTTATAAATTAATGTATGTAAATTATACCGTTCTTTTATATGCAATCGAATGCCCTGAATCCATCACATTGCTATTCCAACATAGTTTGTATCAACGTAAATAATTCCAGCCAAGTTCCAGGCTACGGTGTTCTACATAGCAAGATGTCATACGCGACTGGTATCTATTTCGGAATACTAAGACCTTATTTGTCATTAATTTAACGTAAGGTTCCTTTCTTAACAAACACATGTTTTCTGGTGTAGAATTTTTTAACCGACTTCGAAAAAGAAGGAGGTTTCTCAATTCGACCGTATATATTTTTAATTTTTTTAATGTGTGTTCGTGGGTAGCTTCGTCATTTATGAACCGATTTTAATGATTATTTTTTTGTTGGGAAGATATCCCAAGGGTGGTACCATGATAAGGAAACCCGATCTGATGATGGCATCCCAGAGAAATCGAGGGCAATCCTCAAATGTTATAGGTGTTGACAATATTT